TGCGTTTGGATCCGGATACTCCCTCCTAACAACCGACCCACATACTCGTTATTACCAGAATACTTACCCCAATTGTTTGTCATCGTTGCGACCGCATTTGGCTCGTTGGTGTGAGTTATCCAGCATTTCCTCTGCAACCGGCATGTGAACTTACAGCAGCGCAAACGCGCAGAGCAGCACCTTGAGTCGATCCAGGCCCACATTGCCTCGCTCGAGCACGCCAAGACGCGAGCAGATCCTTGCAGCACGCCTACAACCTCCACTGCAACCTCCACTGCCCAGGAGCGCTGTGAGACTGCCCCGCCACCAAGGCCCCCAGCGCCCTGGCCCACCCCCACTACCTCTCAGGCTGCAGATCCTCACCATGGCCCTTCCTTGCCTCTAGGCTATGCTCTCGGGAGATCGCACATCGATATTGGTATGTAGGCAACTGGGCAGCCCTGGCAGAACCAGTCTGATCTCGAGCTCCCTTCCCACCCAACCGGCAGGAGGCACCTCTCGGTCTGCAGGCCCTCACCATGGCCCTGCCTTGCCTCTAGGCTATGCTCTCGGGAAATCGCACATTGAGGTCTGTATGTAGGCAACTGGACAGCCCTGGCCGAACCAGTCTGATCTCGAGCTCCCTTCCCACCGAACCGGCGGGAGGTACCTCTTGGTCTGCAGGCCCTCACCAGGGCCCCGCCTTGCCTCAAGGCTATGCTCTCGGGAAATCGCACATTGAGGTCTGTATGTAGGCAACTGGGCAGCCCTGGCAGAACCAGTCTGATCTCGAGCTACCTTCCCACGCAACCGGCAGCAGGTACCTCTCGGTCTGCAGGCCCTCACCATGGCCCCGCCTTGCCTCTAGGCTATGCTCTCGGGAAATCGCACATTGAGGTCTGTATGTAGGCAACTGGACAGCCCTGGCCGAACCAGTCTGATCTCGAGCTCCCTTCCCACCGAACCGGCGGGAGGTACCTCTTGGTCTGCAGGCCCTCACCAGGGCCCCGCCTTGCCTCAAGGCTATGCTCTCGGGAAATCGCACATTGAGGTCTGTATGTAGGCAACTGGGCAGCCCTGGCAGAACCAGTCTGATCTCGAGCTACCTTCCCACCCAACCGGCAGCAGGTACCTCTCGGTCTGCAGGCCCTCACCATGGCCCCGCCTTGCCTCTAGGCTATGCTCTCGGGAAATCGCACATTGAGGTCTGTATGTAGGCAACTGGGCAGCCCTGGCAGAACCAGTCTTATCTCGAGCTCCCTTCCCACCCAACCGGCAGGAGGTACCTGTCGGTCTGCAGGCCCTCACCATGGCCTTGCCTTGCCTCTAGGCTATGCTCTCGGGGAATCGCACATCGATATTGGTATCTAGGCAACTGGGCAGCCCTGGCAGAACCAGTCTGATCTTGAGCTCCCTTCCCACCCGACCCGCAGCACGTACCTCTCAGTCTGCAGGCCCTCACCATGGCCCTGCCTTGCCTGTAGGCTATGCTCTCGGGAAATCGCACATCGATATTGGTATGTAGGCAACTGGGCAGCCCTGGCAGAACCAGTCTGATCTTGAGCTCCCTTCCCACCCGACCCGCAGCACGTACCTCTCGGTCTGCAGGCCCTCACCATGGCCCTGCCTTGCCTCTAGGCTATGCTCTCGGGGAATCGCACATCGATATTGGTATCTAGGCAACTGGGCAGCCCTGGCAGAACCAGTCTGATCTTGAGCTCCCTTCCCACCCGACCCGCAGCACGTACCTCTCGGTCTGTAGGCCCTCACCATGGCCCTGCCTTGCCTCTAGGCTATGCTCTCGGGGAATCGCACATCGATATTGGTATCTAGGCAACTGGGCAGCCCTGGCAGAACCTGTCCTATCTCGAGCTACCTTCCCACCCGACCGGCAGCAGGTACCTCTCGGTCTGCAGGCCCTCACCATGGCCCTGCCTTGCCTGTAGGCCATGCTCTCGGGAAATCGCACATCGATATTGGTATGTAGGCAACTGGGCAGCCCTGGCAGAACCTTTCCTATCTTGAGCTCCCTCCCACCCGACCGGCAGGAGGTACCTCTCAGTCTGCAGGCCCTCACCATGGCCCTGCCTTGCCTCTAGGCTATGCTCTCGGGAAATCGCACATTGAGGTCTGTATGTAGGCAACTGGGCAGCCCTGGCAGAACCAGTCTGATCTCGAGCTCACTTCCCACCCGACCCGCAGCAGGTACCTCTCAGTCTCCAGGCCCTCACCATGGCCCTGCCTTGCCTCTAGGCTATGCTCTCGGGGAATCGCCCATCGATATTGGTATGTAGGCAACTGGGCAGCCCTGGCAGAACCAGTCTGATCTCGAGCTCACTTCCCACCCGACCCGCAGCAGGTACCTCTCCGTCTCCAGGCCCTCACCATGGCCCCACCTTGCCTCTGGGCTATGCTCTCGGGAAATCGCACATTGAGGTCTGTATGTAGGCAACTGGGCAGCCCTGGCAAGATTTGGGCCAGTGCATCAGTAGCATCCTCAGCCAGACCAGGCGTCTCAGCCCCACTCGGACCCAACCCGTCTGCGCGCACAGCTCCATGAGGAACAGGGCTACTGACCTACCGCTTGGTACAGGGACCATATAACAGTATACCTTGACGGTAATGGAGTCAGATTTGGGCCAGTGCATTGTAGCATCCTCAGCCAGACCAAGCCTCTCGGCCCCACTCGGACCCAACCCGTCTGCGCGCACAGCTCCATGAGGAACAGGGCTACTGACCTACCGCTTGGTACAGGGACCATATAACAGTATACCTTGACGGTAATGGAGTCAGATTTGGGCCAGTGCATTGTAGCATCCTCAGCCAGACCAAGCCTCTCGGCCCCACTCGGACCCAACCCGTCGGCGCGCACAGCTCCATGAGGAACAGGGCTACTGACCTACCGCTTGGCACAGGGACCATATAATAGTGTACCTTGACGATAATGGAGCCAGATTTGGGCCAGTGCATTGTAGCATCCAGCCAGACCAAGCCTCTCGGGCCCACTCGGACCCAACCCGTCTGCACGCACAGCTCCATGAGGAACAGGGCTACTGACCTACCGCTTGGCACAGGGACCATTCAACAGTATACCTCGATGGTAACGGAGCCAGATTTGCGATATTGCATCGATAGCATGCTCAGCGGCACCATCCCCGCGAGGCTGCACCTTCTTTTTCCTTCCAGCCGGCCGTGGTGCGGTCAGATTGGGCTGCCCTTGCAGGGCAGAATAGAGTACGATACGCTCTAAATGGTTAGCTAGGTTAGAGGTTGAACGGACCTTGTGGCCCAGCTTGGCAGAGGCAAACCTGTTCCTGGCAAGCCCCACCCTCTCGGACCCAAACCGTTTGCACGCGCAGCTCTATGAGGCAGAGGTCTCCCAGCCTACCGCTCAGCGAAGGGACCATTGAACAGTATACCTTGATGGTAATGGAGCCAGATTTGCGATATTGCATCGGTAGCATGCTCAGCGGGACCATCCCCCGAGGCTGCACCTTCTTTTTCCTTCCAGCCGGCCGTGGTGCGGTCGGATTGGGCTGCCCTTGCAGGGCAGAATAGAGTACGATACGCTCTAAATGGTTAGCTAGGTTAGAGGTTGAACGGACCTTGCGGCCCAGCTCGGCAGAGGCAAACCTGTTCCTGGCAAGCCCCACCCTCTCGGACCCAAACCGTTGGCACGCGCAGCTCCATGAGGCAGAGGTCTCCCAGCCTACCGCTCAGCAAAGGGACCATTGAACAGTATACCTTGATGGTAATGAAGCCAGATTTGCGATATTGCATCGGTAGCATGCTCAGCGGGAACATCCCCCCGAGGCTGCACCTTCCTTTTCCTTCCAGCCGGCCGTGGTGCGGTCGGATTGGGCTGCCCTTGCAGGGCAGAATAGAGTACGATACGCTCTAAATGGTTGGCTAGGTTAGAGGTTGAACGGACCTTGTGGCCCAGCTCGGCAGAGGCAAACCTGTTCCTGGCAAGCCCCACCCTCTCGGACCCAAACCGTTTGCACGCGCAGCTTTATGAGGCAGAGGTCTCCCAGCCTACCGCTCAGCACAGGGACCATTGAACAGTATACCTTGATGGTAATGGAGCCAGATTTGCGATATTGCATCGGTAGCATGCTCAGCGGGACCATCCCCCCCCAGGCTGCACCTTCTTTTTCCTTCCAGCCGGCCGTGGTGTGGTCGGA